TATAAATAAATATTTACAAAATAATTATGCATTGTGGCTATAACACGTCATATTGCGATAATCAAAGTTATTGTTAATTTTAAATATTTTTGAAATGAGCTGACTAATAATTGAAACAGTATCATGATTTATTTACAAGGAACATAAAAAACTTTGGGTTTTTTGTGTGATTTCTTGACAATGAACCATTTCCATTTTACACCAAACTGGATGCAATTAATAATTATTTATATGACGGCATAATATGTGTAATACGGTATTTATTATTCAATTGTTTAATTTGTCCATAAAATGTCAGAACATTATGTAGATTACGTATAGTACGTCTAACTACAGTAAACAAAGGTTTTTTTTTCCTTTATGAAATAAACTAAACAAACATTTTCTTTTCCAAGGAATCTCAGAAACTTCAAAACTTTGGAGTTTTCCAGTAATTTCTAAAAATTATTTACTAACTAAGAAACAAACAAGTATCTTAATTACTGCACAATAAGTCTAATATTAATATTAATAATAGGAATGTCAGAAAACTGTGTGGATTTCCTATGAACAGTCTACGTACAGGAGCCAAAACCATTAAGAATCACTGATTTCTTTTCCAGGTAACCTGAGAAACATCAGTGTCATGGTGTTGTTTTTGTGAATTCTTAACAATAGAACATTTCCCATTTTATTCCAGACGGGCTGCAACCAACGTTTATTTTCATATTTAATCTGTTGATTTGTTTTGTTGTTGTTTTTTTTGGTCTAAAACAAAATTACACTAAATTTACAGTGACATTAAAAGCAAAAAGAATGTTTTTTCCTTCACCCACACACAACACAACACAACACATCACATCACAACACAACACAACACAACACAACACACCACCGGCTGGTCACGTGTGTCTCATTACATCATATGCTGTTTATATCTGCTTTTACCTACAAGTGGAGAAGTGACATATTGTGGCAAGTCCTTGAGTGTTTGTGTGTTTGTGTGTGTTTGTGTGCATGTGTGTCTATGTGCACACGTCAGGCTGCTGAGCCACAGCTGGCAGCCCTCATTACATGCTGCACACACACAGGGGGAGACTTAAGTGCTGCACCGAAACACATGAAAGAAAGAAAAAACAACAACACAAGCTCGAGGCTGAAGACGTCGAGCAGGAATATGAAAATAAGAATTACTGAGCAGAGACGGGAAGTAAGTGGACCTGCACCAGGAGTTCTATGAACTCAATCAGGACTCTAATGTTTGTTTCTTCACAGGTGCAGATTCACACACAACTTTTAATGAAGCTAAAATATTCTCTCCAACATTTCGACACCATCTTGACACCAAGCTAAAAGTGATTCTAATTTAGTTTCACGCTGGACTTAATCCCGCCGTCGTCGCGTCGGGCACGATCAGCGGAGCGAGGCCGCTGTGCACAAACAAAACCACTCAGTGTCACCTCGCAGGTCTTTTTCTACTGTATCTGGTCAGCAACGATGGTTTGAGGGGAGACTCGCTTCATCATTAGAACAAATCGCCATTTAGTTGTTGCTTTTTTAATTTAATTTGCTGAAAAAAGAACCGTGGGCAGATGTCTGGAAACAGGACAGTGAGGAAGCTGAGGTCCTGTTTCTGGAAGTTTTAATGACCTGAAGAGAAGTTTATGTTCCACAATTGTCATGAGAGTTAAATTTAAAGCCTTTGTTGGTGTTTGTTGACAACTTTCACTTCTCAGTCATCAGTTTGGCTGATTAATGGATCCAATATTCAGCATTTTTGCAATGATCACTGTTGTTTTTTTGTTAATTTTTTAAAACAAATTTCTAAAAAAAAATAAACAAATAAAAAATATGTAAATATGCAATTTTGGCCCTAATGCAGCCGCCTCTCTCTTCCTGTAGTCACCAATCTGTGGTCTCGATCAGCGATTATTAGCTCATCAACACTGGCAGATAAATAAGACAGGATCTCTTTTAGCCAAACACAGGAATCTCATGAATTTTAACGCAGGAGTTTGTGGTTTTCTACATTTTGATTCCAAGATTTTGAATTTTACTGCAAATGTAGCAGCTTCTTAGTCAAATTGTGGTCATATTTGCATGTCTTTGTAGTCCTTTTGTCTATATTTTACTCCATTTGTGCCACTTTGCGATCACTGGCATGTTGTTGTGGCTGTTTGGTTCACTCTGACCTCCACCTCTAGTGATATTTTCAGACTAATGCTCTTTAAATTAGATTATTTCCACAACAAATATGAACTTAAGTAAAAAATACAATTAAGGTTTTAGCATTTCTCCCCCGAGGGTTATATTCTGGTGCAGCATTTGGGAAAAAACATGTATTAAACTATAATAAACTGGACTGTGTTATATCACATTGGATTCTCAAAGCATTTTTGGTAGTTTGTTAAATGCTCTGTGAGAAGCACTGGGAGCATTCAGAGATATGACTTTAGTATTTCAGCCATTAAAACAAAAAGATCTGCTTGTTTTGACTAGATTTATAAACTTCCACTGTCATTATTTGATGCATTTCGGTGGGAAAAATTAAGTGAAGTAACTTAACAACGCCCAATTTGATGCTAATGTTCATTCTGTAGAACAGGCTGCTATAGTTGTGGGTAAAAAAAAAACGCTCTGGATTGTTTAAATTTCTTCAAACCAATCACAATCCACTAATAAAAACTAGTGCACGTGTATAACACATGATCGTCTGCAAAATTTGAGATTTTTTCAGTGTCGTATACTTTGTTGTTGTTTCCCGTAGCGAAGAAAATGCAAAGATAGTGGAAGAAAAGGACAAATCTACCTGAAATAAGCAGATTTCTTCATTAGAAACAAATGTTTATTGTTTGTTTATTTAGTATTTTGGGATGAATAACATGTATGAAGGCCTCTGTGGTGTTAGATCAGCGTATCTCAATGTAAATGCTGCCACCCGAGCCGTCTGACGTAGTGTTCTGCATGCTTTTACTGTGACATTTAAATATATTCATCAATTCACCGCTCAGTTTACACCGTGGACTGCACTGTACAGCCAGCAAACCTACACTGTTTGAAAAATTAAGCACATGATAAACTCCTACTGAACTGTCTCCGTCACGGATCCGACTGCGTCCCCATCGACTTTGAAACGAAACCGACAACTTTGTGTTCCTTTTTTTTTTTTTTTTTTCAAACACATTCGAGTATAAATGATATTATTTATAACATCCCAAATGGGCCTGTTGTTAAGCCTCTCAGTTAAGTACAGTCGGGAGCCCCGACGCAGGCAGAAAATCCTCAAGGGTGCAGTAGCTTTTCTGTAGGAGGTAGAAAACACTCATAACACACTGAAAGGAGTTCTCCACACAAGCACACGCACGGAAAGGAGAAAAAAAAGTAGAAAACAAGAAAGGTCGCTTATCGCTCCCCTGGTTACCGGTTGGCATGGCAACCAATATAGCGCATCGTTACGGGAGAAAATCAGCGCGCTCGGATAAAAGTGCCCAACTGTAATATAAAACGTATTGTTTTGTTTAATACATTTCACACGCAGGCTTTTCTCCGACAGTGATGAATGTCCAAACGCTCCTCGGCGTAATTGTCTCATTACTTTTCCGTATGAAATTTATGATCTGTATTTATTGTAATTTGGAGTTTTATGTAGGAATTTTTTTTTTTAAATCGCTGACAAGAGGGAACCGCGAAGTGAGAGATCAGAGCTGAGGGATGACTCGGAGCCGACACAATGACGAGGACTGTGAAGGAAAAGCCTCTTAGCGCCGTACTACGGTAATACCCACACATGGGCACGCATAAATGTATTTTCACTTAGAGGAACTTCTCTGTAAAGAATAGAATTAGCATTCAAGCGCTCAAACTCTCTCTCCATTGTGCTGAAACATTCTCACGAAGTGGATGAGTCCGTCTGAAGGCATGAAAGATCCATCAGCCGGCTCCGAATCAAAGGCAGAGAAATGCAGCAGCCTTCTTCTTTTAAACACGTTTGGAGGTCACAATCGGCTTCTTCTCCAGCATCCCGCAGTCCATAAATTTTAAAATAGCCTGCCAGAGGACAACTTCTTCCATGTTTGTAAGTGAAAATAGAAGTAAAGCGGCGCACAAAACATTTAAAGTTCGTGAAAACATCAAAGGAGAGTCATGCATTTTCAACTAGATGCAAACAAGATCAATGATGATAATGAGAAGGCCACGAAAGCTATTTGTTGGTTGTGTTCTGGGCTTTGGCATCACACGAAAACATGGAGTGAAAAAGGCAACTGATAAAATACACTGTGTGTTTGACTGGAATCCAAAAGCGAGAAACAAAAACATTGCAGAGCAGATTTGGCAAAGTTCAACCCAACAAGAGACCAACTGGAAAGTTTGTACCAACCCAACCCACGTTAACAACAAGTTCACAGACTATCTGTTGGACTTTACATGTGCAAAAGCTGCAACGATAAAGCACGTATACACACTTTGATTCCAACCGCAGTGGTAATTTGCAAACAAGTCACCTCTGAGTGCCGTAAAATTACAGCATCATCCACAATTTAACAGCTCTGTTTGGTTTCGTATCCAGTTGTTGTATAAATTCTTTACATTTAAAGCCGCCACAGAAGCCAGAAATCATCTTCCACCAATTCTAATGACGCCACACATCAAAAGAGAGCCGTGATGTTTCCCATTTAGAGCCGTTTTTAACTGTGAAGAGACAACACAGAAGAAATTTACAGCAGCTGCGAACACATCTGAGAACTTCATTAACACCCAAACTACAAAATCATGAACTTGGTTTTGCTGTGCTTTTGATAAAACACTAGAAGTTTTCTCTCTCTTTTTGCATAGGGAATAAACCTCAGAGACAGTTTTTTTTTCATGTATCGAAAACACTGTAATCCAGTATATTTCCCAGTAACAACCACTTGAGGCGCTATTGCCATCCTGTGCGACCATTGCTAATATAGAACACCTTTGCAGTCATACGGTGCTCCTTCCCAACACCCAAAACCACCTCATATGCTTGTATTGTACCCAAATACTAAGAAAGTATCTCACATCAGTCTAACTACACCCTAACAAAGTGTGGAATCTACATCAATCAGCAACAACTCGAAAACCTCCCGTCTAGTAGTGAGTAGGTTCCTCTTGTGCCACCAAACAGCTCTGACTTGTTGGGACATGGACACCTGAGGTTTAGGCTTGGACAGTCTTTGATTGGACTGGGATCTGGAGAGTCTGGAGTCTGGACTTGAGCTCTTGGTCGAGTTCCTCGAGTCATTCCTGAGCAGTTTTTGCATTGTGGCAGGATGTAACTGGGTATGCAATAATGGGTGAGTTCTTGTGTCAAAGTAACATCTAGAGATCAACTGATCATTGGCTTGGCTGATTATTGGGGCCAATGTTTGGCATTTTTCCATTCAGGGGGATTATTTTTAATTAAAGGCACTACTTTGGGTCTGATACAGTCACCTCTCTTTGTCTGTTATCACTTTGTGGTCTTGGCAATGTCTCTGTAGTAAAGATGCAACTTGCAACAGAACAAGAAACACGTAAAATTAGCTATTTCTACAGTGGCTAAGGCTATGCTAACAGCTAGCAGCTAAGGGCAGCCACAGATTACCCTGAAACAGAATGGGGAAAACAATAACTAATAATGTTTTAAAATATGGGCCTTAGCAATCAATAAAGATGAAAGAACAGTGAAAGATTAACAAAAAAGAAGAATATCAGATGGAACTACATGAGACAAGCTGGTATTGATCTCAATAAACTGATCTTACAGTAATCAGAGGAGAGCATCGTAGCGTCCTGTGATCACTCCAATTGCTAGCAAGTCTATCTTATGCTGCTAAAACATAACATTCACTGAATATCGGTTTCAATTATCGGTCGTTTCTGATTACCAATAATTGGCATCGGTAGCTAGGACTTGAGATTTCCCAGCAGAACAATTCATTGTCACGTTATTCACTTCAGCCCTTAGTGGTTTTAATGTTGTGGCTGGTGGTGTCCATCTTTTATCGCTGCTTTATAAGGCAGTTGCATCTTTGTTCTTCTGTTTTAATTTAAGTTCTCTCTTTCTATTCTTCGATTCTTGATGATTTACAGTCGAAATTTCACGCTCAGAGTTTCACACCGAACCAGAGATTAAAAAACGTTCACGTGACCTGAAGCAGGAGCAGACTGTCGGGAGGGAACCGGGAAGAACAGAATGAACAGAGCGTATAAAACCATGAATCACCCTCCGTGCTGCTTTTATCACAATCAATAACTCACTTTGTTGTGTTAAGTACACATGTGTATGTGTCTGTTTGTCTGTTTGTGCACATTTGTCCATGAAGGGATGATCTGATGACTGTGTAGACACAAGTCAGGTAGGGATCAGCGCCGAAGAAGAAGAAGCTTTGAGTTTTAATATCCCTTTATCGTCGCCACAATATTTCCAACGAGGGCGCCAGACGCCGGCACAGGAAATATGGAGGGTGATGCTATCGTCCCACACACACACAGACAAATGTCACTTTGCTCTGCATTGTCAGGTACAACCACTGAAGTATGTCCGAGCAGGAGCACTAAACTGCAACCAGATGTTCAAAACCAGACAGATATTCATGCAAAAGGCACGAGATTTCTACATATGTGTGCAAAATCGGGCATGAAACACTCGTGTCCTGTGTATTTCATCAAGCATAAATCCAGATCCTGTGATTCAGCCTTTATCACTGGGACAAAAATAGAGCCTGAACTGCTTTAACATTGCAGAAACAATGGCAGAACCAGATGGAGAGATAAGTGTGACTCATGCTGCCCATCAAAAATCTGGAGGACGAAACTTCAGTTCATCCTGCTGTCTATTATTTTTGTTCTTTATGCAAAAAAAAAAAAAAAGAAAGAAAAATGGCAAAAATGTCAAATACTTAAATGCAAAAAACAACAACAACAACAACAAAAAAGAAATTCTGGCAAAAAAAAAAATGAGTCAGTGGCTGATAATCATGCTCCCGTCCTGGTAAATTGACATGCTTTCAGAAGTGAATTACGCGTCCCTCCACACAGGAGGATGGATGAGCTTTAATAAACATGAATGTAAATGTGACACTGCCAACGGCTACAGAAAATGGATGTTTTTTAACTGGGAAAAAAAGGGAGAAACGCAGCGCTGGACGTAAAATATAACAGTCAAAATTCAGTATTTTTATGCGACCGTTGTATCAGACAGCTTCTGTGCACGGAGATGAACCCACATTAAACTGGCTCTCACATCTGCAGCTCTGTGGAGGTTTTTAGACAATTTTGATCCATTTCTTGGGTTTTATTGTTTATCCAGTTTCAATTCCAGCAGCAGACACAACCTGCAATAAACTAAACAGCAGATGATTAATCATGTTAGTTAGTCATGTTTAGTTTTCAGCGATGAAATTAATTCTAAACTATTTTGAGAATTGGTTCAGTTTGAGTACATTTATTAAGGATAAAGAGTACACATTCCAGCTTTTTCCAGTTTCCTTGCTCTTTAATGACAATAAGCTGAATGTCTTTTGGTTGTGGACAAAACAAGATATGTGAGGATGTTATCGTGGGCTTTGGGGAAACACTGACTGACATTTATCCCCATTTTGTGGCATTTTACAGCCCAAATACAAAAACTTCAATCGAGAAAACACATGACAGATTACATCACTTTTTAACATTACAATAACATTTACTGACACCAGTAAACCAACAGTAACCTGAATATCTTTGGGTTGTAGTCTAAACAAAATATTTGAGGATGTCATCCTGGGCTTTGGAAAACACTTTTTCACCATCTTCTGGCATTTTACAGACCTAATAACTGATCAATCAATCAAGGAAATAATAAACAAATTAATTGACAGGAGAGCTAATCACTAGTTGCAGCCCTGGTGAACAAAGTGGGATATTTAACACTTTTGATCAGGATGTGGTGGAGACCAAAACAGAGCTAAAATGAAGTCCATATTGGAATTTCACAGCTTCAGAAGAACATTTTAAAGGTGTCTGAACAGGTTCGGGTATTTAAAGATCTCATGCTTTGGAAAACACTGATTGACATTTTTGTCTATTTTCTGACTTATAACAGGCCAAATAATGAACTGATTATTCAAGAAAATAAGCGACAGATTAATCGACAAGGAACATAACTGATAGTTGGAACACAGTGGGAAATTTAACATCTTGTGCTCAGGATGTAGTGGAGACCAAAACAAGAGCTAAAAGGAAGGTGGTGATAGGAATTTCAATTTTAAAGAACACCTTGAGGAGTCTGACACAGTCTCATGTCCATATTTATTTCAGGATAAAGTTGTCTGACTCACTGGATGTTGACTGAGGGTATAAGCTCGCTATTGGCTGCTCATTTTCTGCAGTTTTTTACTCAGCAAGTTACCGCTTTTGAAATTCCACTTCACCACAAGAAACATCAACCTCCATGCTAACAACCTACCAGATTGAATAATGTAAGTTTTTCAGAGGATTTGGATCATTCAGTAAGGCAGCATTGCTAGTTTTTTATGGATTTGTTTTTTAGGAATTAGCCATTTCTTGCAAAAGCTATTCTCCTGTCACTATTTTGAATGAACACTGAAGCTGTATCCTTTCCTTAGCTCCTCCCAGTCCACTTTCATTTGGTTTAAAGACATTCTGATTAACTATAGCAGCATGATAATGAGGTGCAGTCAGACCATTCTACAAGCCAGAATGCTAAAGGAGACGGTGTAAAGCTGCAGCCAGCAAATCCAACAACCTTTTTCTAACTGTATCTGATTAATTCATGTCAGAAACTGAGATATAAAAACAACATATTGTGGTTTTGTGCTGATGGGCACTTTTTTATTTAAGAAAGATGCAAATTTATATCCCATACTGTTTAAAAATTCATTTGAAGACGAGCAAGATGAGGACAAAAAAAAAGAAAAGAAATGAAAAAACACAGATGTGGAGTCGGCCAGAAGGGTGTAGCTGGGAAAAAAGCGAGAAAAATGTAGAAACACAGCTTTGTGGTGTGGCTGAGTGATGTAGTTTAATTACTGCGACCCTGCCCAGCTGGGGGCCGGCGGCTGTGATTGAGTTTTTCACACTTCCTGGTAAGAGGAGACGGAGGCTCTCGGAGGACAGACAAGAGAACATGGTGCTGACAACTCGACTGTATAGCTGCTGCCCGTCTGCCTCGACATCACCAGCTGGTCTCACAGCAGCTGTCTGTCCGCTCGGCTGTCTGTCTGCATCTCGACACGGCCGACCGGTGAGTATTTTAATGCGATACCTGCCCGTCGGTCTACGGCTGTCGCATTGTTATGACAGAGCTCAATCATCTTTTCCTCGCCACTAATACCGTACAGGCGTTTAAAGCGGAAATTACTTAACATTTCCCTGCAAAACATACAACACAGAATTATGTTTTCCTCATTATTTGGGAAACCTGGACCGATAAGAGAGTTGTCTGTATTTACAGATATCAGTGAGAGGAAGATGCAAGCTTAGCTCAGAGGAAAATAATAAGATAACAACAAATTGTAGCTGTATTTATCATGTTCGGTCCTTAATAAGTTGAGGAAACATGTGTTTGGGCAATCAGATAATAACAAGAACATGTTAATCCTTGCTGTTGCTGTTCCAGTCGTCAGTTTTTGTTGTTCTTTTGTCAGTCCAGATATCTGTTGATGTCTACTGCTATTAACACAGAGACAGATTTTATTGATCTAGAAAGACTCACTTTTTAATGAGTTTTTGCATCTTTAGCAGGGATACTCTGTCTATTGTTTTAGCATCAACACTTGTGCAACATGCAAATTACCTCGGACACATCATGCTAAAGGTGTTTTGTTGCCTCGTACAAAAGCAATAACTGATCAACAAGTGATGTCTGATTTAAGGGTTGTTGGGTAAATTTTTTCAAACTTTATTTAGAAGACAAAAAGTTTGTTGGTCTGCAGGTTCCTCATGTGCACAGCAAAAGGAGCAATTATAGGAGAAAAATACTCTAAAGTAGGATTTAGTTGCAAGAGAAACATCTGTTGTATGGAAATATTTCAGCTACACAAAGGTTGATGTTGATACTGATGTTGTACTCTGTTGGCAGCGTCTTGATGCAACACAACTCATTGTTTTTAACAGCACTGCAAAGCTCCATATTATGAAAACCGACTGCCATCTAAAGCCAAAACCTCCCCAAAAAGCACCATTTGGATGCCTTTACCAGTGTTACGAGAAAGGTTTCAAGCTGCAGGAAGAAATCACTGATTTCATAACTTGTCACCTCATGACAGACCTGATACCAACTAACACCAAGGAGAAAAGCATTAAACATCATCCAGCCATCCCAGAGCTGTCCACTTCATTAATGAGGACCAACAACTGAAAAGCTGCTGCAGTTTCCCTGGATGATCGTACATGTTAGAACATCACAGCTGGACTAAGAGAAGCTCACTGAGGCTGCTTGATGAGAGGATTCAAGTCTTTACATCAACACAGAACGCTGTGAACATGATGAAAGCTGCTGAACAAGTAGCCAGAGAGATGCTAAGCTACATTACTGCTATATTTACTAAGCTGTTTTTGTATACGCCTAGAACAGTTCAGTCAGTTCCTCAGTTCAAAAACCCTCAGACAAACATTTGAATAACATTTTATCCCTTCTCCGATGAGCTGTCATTGCTCTTCTTAAGGTTGCACTGCCTTTCCTAATGTTATGCTGTTGTTTTCTAGTGCTTTGTATGTTGTAATGTCTTGTAAAGCACCTTGTAGGAGCAGTTTTGAAAGGTGTCACAGAAATAAAGTTTCTTATTATTATATATCATGTCAATGTCCGTCTTTTATCGTGCAGCCGTAACTGTTAGCAGTAAGACGTTATCACTGATTGACTGTTGTGTCACTGATGTGGACGTCCATGTTTCCCACATCATAAGTCTGAAAGGTTTTAGAAAAAGTCTAGAAAATCTTCATGTTAAAAACACAAATTTTCAATTTAGCTTTTACAGCACTATAAATAGAATGATTTTTAGGTATTTAATTAAGTGAAAAACTGTCATATGATTATTTTAAGTATAACTTAAGTCTCAAATGAGTTACTAGAAAATGCAGTATAGCACAGCAGAGATAGATACGGGCACAAAAAATGAATCTGAATCTAGTTAGTGCTGGTCATAATTTCTGCCTGTCTGTCTAGACTTGGCTGTCTGAGCTAAAACTGTATAAAACAAGTCAAAGGTTATCTCTGGTATCTCTGTTCTATTTCATTACAGCAGTACATGGATGTGGAGACAAAACACACAACACAAGATGCAGAAAATTAACGTCATCATTAGACACACATCATTTATTGCCAATTAGACCTCGTTTCTACCATCTCCTCTAATAGGAAACGAGCCAACCGATCATGGAACGGACTTCGGTGTGTCACATCCTGTTTGTGGACGACAACAGTGTGTGTGTGAGTGTGTGCGTGCGTGCGTGTGTGTTTGTGTGTGTGTGTGTAAACGGTGGCGCGCCGTGACGTTATTCGATGCGAGCGGACAGCTGTGACAGTCAGGAGAGCGAGCGTTTCCCACAATGCGCATGAGGACAGAAGGGGGTTCTCATGAACTCATCGAGGCTGCCAGAGCCGCTCGCCATCAAGTAACGGTTGCCGCGGTACGAAATTAACGCGGCATGCATGCACACACACACACATAAACACACACACACACATGCAGGTTTCCTCCTTATTAGAGTCATGAATAAGTCAACAGACTAACAAAGCAAAGTGGCTCGAATCCTCGGGCTAGAATGGGGTGTAACTCCTGACTACAGTACGAGCTCAGGTCCAACAAGCATCCAGCAGAACAAACACAAACTGTTGCATCATGTGTAATGTCAGAGTTCAGAAGAGTTGGTTTGAGTCTACAGGTTGGAACTACAGCAGGGCACAAAGCTACTTTAAGATTTTAATAAATGTCTCTTGGGTTAATAACTCAACAGGAACAGGTCTTTGGTAGATGGCTGAAATAAAAGTCGACGTAAATTTCTTCCGTTCTTATGTCTATTAACAGGATAATCTCACTAACTTTACTTTTAAGCTCTTTTCTTGGACATGCCTTGTTTTCTTCAACAGTTTCCGTCTTTTGATAATTTCAGATTGTGTATAAGTGTTAAGCCTGATGTCCAGCTGCAAAGTTTTCAACATGTGTGAAGTGTTTATTTGACAGACTAGTCATAAACTAGCCAGCAAGACGTGCCATATAAGACTATAAGACATATAAGACTTTTGCCAGTATTCTCATCGAGTTAACAGCAGACAGGCTTTTAAAAAAAGCCGGATTAGCAACTTTAATTTAAGATGTGAGACACCACTTTCACATTACTTAACAATGTCACCATCAAAGGGAAGTTTTTATGCCTCTGTGCATGCCTCTGGAAGTATTAAGTTTATGGATTTTCGTCCAGTTTCCCATTCATACGTTCACAATTTTACAAAAAATGTCCAATATTAGAAAATACTGACATAATATATCCAAAAGGTCAGCTCTATTGTTGCATCATAATGTTTTGCCAACACTCTTGTTAACACCACAACTCAGGAACAGATGACAAAATGGATGTAAACTGTAACTTGACTGCCTGGCAGAGGCATACGAAAGACAGTAGTTCTAGTTTCACTCTTATATGGCTCAGCAGTCATGTCAGAAAATCTCCAGGTAACATGAACGTACAAGTATGATCTATTGTGCCTCTGTAGCTCCTCTTCACCAATGGTAAATGCTGTTATACTCATACTATTTCACACCCTTTAGTCTGATAAGAGTCGTGGCCAGAAGTTTGTGAGAGCTCCGATCCACACAGTACTTGTTTTGGTTATAGTTTCCCCACTTTGGTGTTGAAAAAGTTGACCTCAGTCCAAATCATCTGACTTCCAGGTCTTATCGCTCTGAGTAAAGCCCTGCAACAAGGTGCCAAAACCTTGTGGAGAACCTTCCACATATAA